TACGTAGATTATTTAACAGAAAACATAGATTATGTGCAAATGTCATCAAATATGCTGCAAAACTTGAATTGTTTGTTGTTTTGACTAGATTGATAAAAAAAATTTCAATATAAAACTAGCAGGTATTTATTACGACAGCCAATATTTAATATTTAACTTGTTAAATTATTTTTCAATGGGTTTGACAAATTTTCTTAAAATACAATTAGTAAAATAAGCTCCTCAAAGAAAAGAAAACAAAGCTTAAGACTTCTAAAATACATTATAAACATGAGGTTTGGATTTATTGTTTCCATCGTCTTTTATAGTGATTATTTTAGACGATTTTATATTAAACCTATAATTGTTACGTACTGTACATAAATTTATTGATCAATCAACAAACACTTTACTTGTTATACACTCACCATTTAAAGAGAAGTTTACTAGATTCGTGTTCAAAAAATATTACCATTTTGTCTGAGGCAAGTGGACAAAAAGATATTAGATTCAAGGGTGGTGCGATCAGTGAATAGTTATTTGACGATGCATGTACACCAAGTGCTTCATTGACAAAGATGGTTTGATCATTAGGTACATTTCTCGAAAGACCCACTCCATTACCACTACATAGCGACTTGATTTATCTGTGTGGATATTTCCGTCGTGTTTCAATATTTAATTTGTGTTTCAAGAGGTTTTTGTTATGTGGTGACATAATGCATCATTGAAAAGATAGTATGATCAGTAAGTGCTCTTTTTCAAATAATTCATTTTGCTTTGTAAATATTTTACTACAATCAACATATGAAAGGTATACGCAATCATATTTGAGTTTTTATTTAACGTTTTCTCAAAAACACACAATGTAAAAAAATATGCATTATAATTTTCTTAACCATTCATATCACAAGTTCACTAATATCAATAGATATCGTATCACACATACAGTATAATCTAAAAAATAATTATTAGAAAAATAACTGAATTGATTCTGGGTTGTTGAGGTAATGATAATTTATTTGAGTCACAGGAAAAACCCAAAGAAGTTGATTATAATTTTCAGGAATAATTAGAAGGCAAAAATGACTAGCAAATTGTTCAATGGTCACAAAGCCCATCTCAGTTATTTGGTTCAATAGATTATGAAGAAATTTATATTTGGCTTTAATTTTATTAATAGTTTTTTTCACCTTATTATTTGTATATATTATGGACTTTGTTTTTGATTATGAATTTAATATTTTGTGAAATCAGCAGTAATTTTTTCAAAATTTTGCATTTTGATTTTTTCATAATAACAGTTTATAATATTAATCAAAGATATACAGTATGTTGCAAAAAAAATGGCAAAAAAAATGGTTTCATAATTGAAATCTTTACAATTATTAAATAAGCATTTATTTAAAAATATTTAAAAATTTATATTTTTAAAAGTTATAAATTTAATTAAAATATTTAATTAAAAATTTATTATATTAATATTAATATTTTCTTAAAAAAAATTTTTAATTTTTTAATCTATTCTTTTATTTTACTTTTTAAAATTTTTATTTAAAAAAATTATATAAAAATAAATAAATATATATACTGTATATAAAGTTTAAATTTTATATAATTAAAATAATTTTTTTTGGATTTTATTTTAGATAATAAAAAAAATAAATTTAGTTTTAAAATTAGAACCAAATTTTTGGAATACAATTTATTAAAATTTACAAGAAAAGCCGGGAATATTTTTTTAATTTTTTATGAATTGAACTTATGGCAAATAATATTTTTAATAAAAAATTTAATATATTTTTAATTGTTATATGAAAATTTAAAATTTTTTGAATAAAAAGTAAATTATAAATAATGTACAGTTAAATATCTTAAGTTTATTTAAGAATTATATTATATTAAAAATTAATAAAAATACGTTTTTTAAATACATGTTACACGGATGTAATATAAAAGCTATAGATTTACCGACCTTTCTACTTTATCAAAAACAAAAAAAAAAGTTCAAAAAAAGTATACTGACAGAGATTATGCATGGTAACAAAGAATTTTTTATGATTGTTCATCGGGAGGTCATAAATTAACACTCAAAAACTAAGTTATCTACCAATAACTTTCCCGAAACTTTCATCTAGTGAAGATTTTTTAGCAAAGTATGGATAGTTCACGTATTGTTAAAAAAGATGAAGCTGGTACACGTTTAGAAAAATTCGTATGTCGCCATTTTCGGGATATCGTAATTTCCAAACATCTTTGTAGACTGTGTTTCAAACGCGGGGAGATCCTTATTAATGGAAAGCCCGCTGAATCCACACGACTTATTTGTGAAGGAGATGAAGTATGTTTGCAGATTGATAAAATTGCGTTGGAGAGAGACAGATTGGATATGCCAATAACCTTAAATTATGAAGACGAATATCTTGCCATAGTTACTAAGGGGGCTGGTGTGCACATGAAGGGTTTGAAAGAAGGGTTAACCTTCGTGTTGAACGAAGGGTTAGTTGTTGACAAATGCGAATATACATGCATTAATCTGCTGCCAAGAGGAGTAAGTGGCTTGATTGTTGTGTCCAAGACCAGTGAAGTAAGAATGAAACTCGCGAAGATGTTAAATTTAGGCGAGATTCGACAAAGATATCGTATTATCGTCCATGGAAAATACGAACACTCGGTGTTTCAGAATCAAGGATTTGAAGCACAGCAGATTTATCTCACTAGAAGTACATCCGGTGATGGAAATTATCTTACAACTTTAGATATTATTAATTCTCATTCATTAATATCTGCATCTGATATTAAAAAAAACTTTGCAAAAATTCATCATCATGTTGTTGGTTCAAATTCCTGCACAAAAGAGCTGAATTCTTGCAAAGGTAAAGGAATCATGATGGTATTGTTAGAAATAATGTTTCAACACCCTATGACGGAAAAACAAATTATTGTAAAAATTGATGAACCTTCAAAATTTGAAATAATACGACAACGTGAATCACGCTTTTATGACGCAAAACGTAATGAGGAAATCGAGGAATTACATCGATATGGACTTGAACCACTAGAAAACCACGATCCACAGGATTTACAGCAAACACCAATAGCCTATATTACAGGAGAAAAGGAATTTTTTAATTTGCGATTTCATGTTACCTCAGATACTATGATTCCTAGGTCTTCCACAGAACATCTGGTGCATGCAACATTGGATGTATATCATGAATCGAAATATTTTAATTTCCATGGTATAGATGCCACTGAAAATCAATCATTTGCGTTTTTGGATGTCGGAACCGGTTCTGGGTCTATCCTCATTTCAGTCTTGCACTCTATAATAACATCCATTAATCAAGCAATGCCCATCACATCTCCTATAATGGCATCTCACTCGCTACTGGGAATTGGTTTGGACATCAATGTCGGTGCACTTGAAGTTGCACGAAGGAATGCTACTCGACACTTGGATCCCCTGATTGTTCGAAATAACTATCAACGTGAAATATTCAGATATGATTTTATTCATGCGGATATGTCAAACCTCCACAATTATACTCAATTGTTTCATAAAAAATTTGATGTTCTGGTGTGTAACCCACCATATCTTGACAATTCTTCAAATCTTTCCAAAAATGATAAACGTCTTTGCGAACCTCCTGAGGCGCTCTTCTCTGATGAAGGTGGATTCCAAGCATATCGTTTACTTTATGAGACTCTCGAATTATCATTTACCGAAGGAAAAGATATTCTACGTAAGGATGCTTCGGTTATCGTGGAGGTTGGAAGCAAAATGGCTGAAAAGGTTAAACAGTTATTTAGAGATTGGAATTGTGTAAAATGTATTAAGGATAATCAAGGGTTTGAAAGGTGCTTAGTTTTCCGTCGCCACAAATATTAGTTTAATTATTGCGATTTGAGCTGGTAATATTTAATGTAAAGTGAGAGAATATCTACTAATCCTTATCTAATTGCCATCAATAAATTGTTGAGCTGTTAATGTTTATGAGAAAATTCATGGGAATATCTCTAATCCTCTTAATTATTAATAAGTGTTTAAGTAAGGCATTTTTGTAGTGTCAAAAATTAAGTATAATCTTTATTTTCTTGCTGTTCTCTTCTTTATTAATATAATATTATCTTTTAATTATCACATTCCTCGAAGTAATCATTATCATAAACATTGACAAATCAAACAATTGCATTTAACAAATATTTTAATTAAGTTTTATTCTATTTCTAATTATATTTTTAAACAAAAATAATTAATATATTTGAATAATAATGATATAGTATAAAATTTGCTTATAAGGATTATATCATTCATCTAAGTAAATCGGGATTCTGAAAGTTATCAGGATTTTATGATTTTGTTAATCGTGGATTTGTAAAAGATTATCAATAAGAGTGCTTCTAATGTCTCTTCTTAATCTATATTATTGTTAATAATAAACAAATTAGTAAGTATATAATGTATTATTATATTGAATTGTCTTTTATAACGAAGGTTTTAAAATTAATCAAGATAGTTTTTTTGGATTTTAATTTGATATAGGATTATTTTCAAACTTTTAAAATTGATAAAGTCAAATGTTTTAGAGGTATTAAAGAATGTTATTATAGTTTTAATTAAGATTGGTAACTTCAACTCTTATCCAACTTTAGCTCTCCATATCAATACACAATCTTTACCATACAAAGGACAATTCTATAGATATCTTCATAAACTCACTGACATTACAAAAGTCACAAATAAAAATCTTTCTTTATACATATCACATCTATCAATATCTCCCACATAGATCAAATATGGCTCTCAAATAATTTTGCTAGCAAAATTCTAAGTTACAAAGTTTATGATCAAACTGTTATAATTATAGATTACAAACAAGTTACTACTATTCTAAATTGGTTTGAGTACAAGCCCAACAAAGTCTTCTTCAATACCAGTCTATAAATTTAACAAAGTCACTTCCAAAAATATTAATGTTTTCCAAGAAAATATCAATATTAATTGTCTTTCAAATAGTCATATTTTATAAAAACAATTAAACCTTATTATTACAAGAGCCATGGATAATAACTTTCCAAATAAAAGAAAACCTTTTCTACAAATTCAATAGATCCTTTAAAACTCTACAGAAATGCAATCAGAGCTAGGGCTTTGAAAAGTACTGAATTGATACACTTATATAAATTTATAGTAAATTTAAGTATTGAATTGATATCAAAATAGTATCATTAGAAGCTCTAATCAGAGCTATTAAAAAAACAATTGCCAATTGCAAAAATAATACTTTAATAGTCAAACCTTTACCTATTATAAAAAAATTTATGAAAAAATTTCAAACAAACATCTGCATCTCAAAAGTTTCAAAAAGCTCATAAAAATATTAATCAAAAAGAATATTGCCAAGTTAAATAAAATAAGAATGTTTAAAATTCAAAAAAGTTATAAGTATAATTATTTAAAATTTTGAACCAGATTCAAAAATGCACTCAAAAAAGCTTTAGAAGATTTAAAACCTTTTCTTGATCTATTTATTTTTCTTAAAGATGATAACTATATATAGAAAGATTCTAATAAACTTATTGAAATCATCTTTATCCACATTAAAAAAATTCTGGACCTAAAACTATTTAATTTAAATTCTAAATAGAATAATAAAAATATTTTTTCTAAATTACATTTTCAACAATACTATATATTCAACAATATTACCTTAGAAATTATCTTATAGAAATAGATAAAGTCTTATCAAATACAAAGCATCAAATCTTATCTTGAAGTCTAATCTCATCAAGATTCCAATGTCAGACAACATATTAAAGTTTTTTTCAATAAAATTCTACCATCAAATTCAATTTCCAAATTTGAAAACAATATGTTATTACTTTACTTTCAAAAAAAATTATCTGATTATATGAACTTTCTGATATATATTCAATCTTATTAATATAGTAGATTGCCAAAAGTTTATGGACACTTTTTAAAACTCAGTAAAAAAGTTTTTTAAATAAAAAAATTTTTTTATATGATAGAATATTTACATATTGATTATATTTCTAATTTTACTTAAATAATCAATATTTCATTGGTCCTCTCCCAGCTGCAATGCAAGCCGTAATATGTCATAACATACTTTTGATTAATTGCTAATAATCTTCTAGACTTATCTCATCCCAACACCTTTTAACATATTGCTTGAGTTCTATTAAGTTTTGAGGTTTAGGTGTAACTTTTTTAAAACAACGTTTAATCGTATGCCAGAGATTTTCAATAGGGTTAAAATCTGGACTTTGCAAAGACCAATTTATAACCCTAACATTTTTTTCAGCAAGAAACTTTTGTGATTTTTGCGGTATGCAGTCTTACATTGTCATGTTAAAACCAAGACCGATCTGTACCAATCCAATTCATTATGGGAAAATCATTAAGAGTTGACAAAAGATTCTTCTCAAGAGTTTCGACATAGAATTTTCCTAAAAAAACAGTAAAAAAAAAATTCGTTCATTTTCATTTTTTTTTTCGTTTTTATTTTTTATTTATTTTTTTTTTTGTTTTTTTTTTGTTTTCTTTTTCTTTTATTTTCTTTTTTTTCATTTTTTCTTATCTGTAACTGACGTGTCAAGGGAAATGAAAGGGCCAGTGCCGAACCATGAGAAACATCCCAATGCATTCGACTCAGACTATGGCTAACCATAGCAGAAAGACAGTCAACATCCCACTTCTCATATGAAATACACCATACACAGCTTTTACTTTCTTGTTGAAATTGAGAGAATATCGATTTGTCGCTTCAAATTACCTTCTTAAAGTCATAAATAGACCAATCTTTATACTCAAGACACCAGGTAAGCCTTTCTTCGATATTCTTTTCAGAGACAAGTGATTTAGAACGAGCAACGTGAAATTTTAACTTTTTATGATATAAAGTTCGACGAATCATCTTTTCAGATACTTTAATTTTATTTTAATATAAAAAGAATTGTTAATTCTGCATTGCACAAAAACTGATTTTTTTTAACAAGTTTTTTAAGAGTGATATGGGTACGATCATCAAGAAGTCGTGGTCATTCAGTTCGAGGTTGTGGTTCTATAGATTCAGTTTTAATAAACTTGTTTATAATGTTATTCATAACTGATTTTTTACATCCGATGTGAGCTGCAATAGTGCAATATGAATCTTTTCTTTTAAAACCATAAATTATAGCCAATTTTTGTTTGAAAGTTAGTTCTTTTCTCGTGTTTATATTAATGATTATATGAATTTGGAGAGAAAAATATAAAATAAATAAAAAAATTTTTTTAATTAGCAATATTAAATAAATATGTAATTATATTTTTATAAAAAAATTAATTATAATTATAAAAATAAATATTGTATACTCCCCTAGCATAAATCATTAGATGTCAATCAAATTCGAAAAAAATTAATGAATGAAAAAAATTTTTAAAATATTTTTTACAGTTACTTAAATAGGAAATTAAATAAGGTTTACGTTGTTTACATGTTTATAAGTTAGGAATTTAGTAGAATTTTCTTTTTTTATTTATTATTTTTCTTGCAATGACTCAAAAATATAAAGAATTATCTAAAGATAAACGTAATTTGATAATAAATACTTGGAAGTCTGATTCCTTACCTTCAATCATTGCAAAAATACTTAATATCACAAGATCAACAGTTTATGATGTAATCAGTTACTTTAAAAAAACTGGAAATGTCAAGCCTCCTACCTGAAGTGAAAGACCCCCTAAATTAACAAATCGTGATACAAAACATTTAGTAAGGATTATCAAAAAAATCATAAGCAACATTAAATACTGTACAAAAGAAATTTGTATAATCAACATCAACTGAAGTTTCCATATTGTTGGGTCTCAATGGCGAGTAAGTCGCTAATCCGGACCAAGACTTGTGCTACGTTGGGAGAGTGGGTCTATGTCGCTGGCGATATCAAAGGTACGTATGGTGATAATTATCTTAATCTTCCCTTATGTTTAACTAGTCTCCTCTTTTAATCCCTTCCTTATTACACTACAAGGCCCTGGATTCTCTTTAAGACGACTAAAAGACAAATAAGGTAAGTTTATTA